CTCTTTCTTTTTCTCTCTCTCTTTCTTTTTCTCTCTCTCTTTCTTTTGCTCTTTTTCTCTTTCTCTCTTTCTCTCTTTTTCTCTCTCTCTCTCTCTCTTTCATTCTTTATGCTCACTCTCCGAGGAAACTATATCTTTCCCGAACTGTGTCAAACCTAGGAAGAGGAAACTGTTCCTTTTGATCATGGGAGTGCCCAAGCTTATTGTTTTCATTGACCACTTAATATTGAGAAGCCTTACTGTCACATGCAAAATTCAAATCTGTGTTTCCATTCACTTGCATCTACCTTAAACTCTTAATGTTTTTAAAAAATGTCTTGATCTTCTGATTCCATCTGTGTGTAAATTTAAATCCCTAAACTCCTGCAATTCGAACAGGGCACGTTAATGATAAAGAACTGTAAGTACAGATAGTATTGAAATTTCTGCATTTTGTGAGCTGCAATTTGAACAGCCCTGTCTCTAACCTATACTGTACCTGCGTAGCCTTGAGGTACCAATAATAATATACCAATTAAATAGGGACCACTAACGCCTCTAGCACTTGAGTCTTGAAGTGCGCTTTATTAATGTATGAAATCTCAACCCTGACTTTGCTTGGGCTTTATTCTTCGGGCAGAAATCAGTAAAGATTGCTACTCAATAGGTGCCAATGTAGAAACGGTTGACGAAAACAAAGACAAGTCTGCTGATCATCTTTTGGGGAGCACACAATGTTGAGCATTGAGATGTGAATGGGAACTCATCATTGCAATTGTGATTGCAATTGGATCAAATGTAGCTATTTTCATTGATGATCATGTGGGATTGATAGAAGTATGCTAAGGTGCAGCGACACTGGGAAACACACTTACAGTTGCGTTTGTCTCAATTTAAGATCATCCTGCAAAGGTACTATGTAGGTACAGCAAGTTATTAAAATGGTTAATGGCATGCTATTCTTTATTATGAGAGGAATTGGAAAATAAAAGTAAGGATGTAATATTTTAATTATACAGGGCATCAGTGAGATCACGTCACTTTGTGCAGTTTTGGTCTTATTATTCAAGGAAGGATGTAATTACTTTAGAGGCAGTTCAGAGGAGATTGAAATGAGGGAAGGTTGAACGGACTGGGATTTTATCCACTGGAGTTTAAAAGAGGGAGGGGTGATTTGATGATTGAAGTGTGTAAGATTCAAAATGACCTCGACAGGGTGGATGTGTAAGGATGTTTCCACTTGCAGGTGAGTCATGAACTACAGAGTCATAGAGTTATACAGCATGGAAACAGACCCTTCGGTCTAGCCAGTCCATGCCGACCATAATCCCAAACTAAACTAGCCTCACCTGCCTGCGCTTGGCCTATACCCCTCCAAACGTTTCTTATTTATGTACTTGTCTAAATGTCTTTTAAGCATTTTAAGTGTACCCACGTATACTGCTTCCTCTGGAAGTTCACTCCACGTACAAACCACTCTCTAAGTTTTTTAAAAAAAATTGCCCCTCATGTCCTCTTTAAATCTTTCGCCTCTCACCTTAAAAATAAGCCCCCTGGTTTTGAAATTCCCCACCCTAGGTCAAAGATACCATTTCCCCACTCACTCTATCTATACCCCTCAAGATTTTATAAACCATTACAAGGTCAGCCCTCAACCTCCTGTGCTCCAGTGAAAAATGTCCCAGTCTATCCATCCACTCCCTATAACTCAAACTTTCCATACCCAGCAAAATCCTGGTAAATCTCTTCTGAACCCTCTCCAGCTTAATAAAATCCTTTCTGTAACAGGAAGACTAAAACTGGAAAGAGTAATTTGTTTTAAAATTGGAGGTCACCCTGTTAGGACAAGAAGTGTGGAGAAGTTTGGAGAACTTTGGAACTCTCTGCCTCAAATAGTGGAGGTGGGAGTCACCGAATATTTTAAGACAGATTTGTTCGATTCTTGTTAGGACACAGAATCAAAGGTTATTAGGAGCAGATGGGAATATGGAATTTGAAATGCAAACAGATCAGTCATGATCTTATTGAATCCAGCAACAGCTGAGGTGCTGAATGGTCTACTCCAGCTCGTATTTTGTATGTCGTACAAATGCATCTCCAACCCTCACTGGGACGAAATTTGGTAATTCTGGGGGCAAGACTAAACACCTCAAGTAAGAAAATTGAACAAGATAATAAATGCTTTGTGGTGCGTTATATCTTTAATGTTCTATTTCTTAACAGAGGAAACACAAGAGTAGAAGAGGCATGTGAAATGTTTGCCAGAGCTGCAAACATGTTCAAGATGGCTAAAAACTGGAGTGGTGAGTTACATATTTAAATCTGGGTTACTATTTACTGGGTGATTGCTTTCTCAATGTTGCTGCTATTAAAATTTTAAAAAGCAAACGTGATAATTACACTTAAACAACTAGGGCCAGCATTTGATGTTCTAAGGGAATGGGATTTTTGTCTGTTAAGAAGGGTTGAACTGTAAGGGCCCCATAATTCATAGATGAAATTACCATTGGTGACGTTACATTTAAAATCAGCGGCTAACGTAGTCTGTAGGTGCCTCCATTCTGGTTCTGAGGTTTTGCCATATTTCTATAGTCTTGTCAAATGATCGCTGGAGAAATCTTTATGATCTACATTTTGCCTCCACTAACATTTTATAGTGCAGCTGTAATTGATAGATCTGGTGCAAGGCAGGGCAAGGTTTGATTATCTGGAATGAAAATTCTCCACAGTTTGCACATTTCAGGGGACGTGTTTATGTACGTGACTAGCAGATGTGTACTTTGCTGCCTTCCTCCACATCTGCTGCAGTGACAGACTTATCTCACTGTACCACTGGCTTCCTGTCAAAAGTAAGTGACGTTGCAGTCAAGCATGTGTGACTACTGGGGGGGAGAAAAAAACAAAGAACTATGGATGCTGGAAACCAGAAACAGAAACAGAAATTGCTGGGAAAACTCAGCAGGTCTGGCAGCATATGTAGAGAGAAAGCGGAAGTTACTGTTTCAGGTATGGTGACTGTTTTTGAATGTGTGACTGCTGATCCACAAGCCCACCAAGTCTGCTCTGACCTTCCAAAGAACATCTCGCCCAAATCCAAACCACTACTCTATGCCCATAATCCTGCATTAATCCACCTAGCATGCACATCCCTGGACACTACGGGGCAATTTAACTTGGGCAATCCACCTAACCTGCACATCTTTGGAGTGTGGGAGGAAACCGGAGCACGCAAGCTGATAACTCAACTTGTAGCTTGAAACACCAGGAGGAAGCGCACGTAGACACAGGGAGAATGTGAAAACTCGACACAGACAGTTGCCGGAGAGTGGAATCGAGCCACTGAGTCATTGTGCTGCCTGGATACGATATTCCTGGTACTGTTTGCCAATTTCACCAATTAGAAGCACCTCACAGATTTCATTTCTGTTTGTTAGTTGCTTATTTCTATAAGTAATATTGATTTCAAAGCATGAAGGGAGGGAGCTTTAAATATTCTTTTAAATGATATATCTGTAAAAAAACCTCTCTTACAAACATCATCCATTTGCAAGGTAAATTTAACATCAAAAAAGCATGCACTGTATTTAGCATCTTCTAGATAGGTGGAAGAACAGATTTATAAAGTACACAGATCTACTTGGGAGTTAAGCAGAAAAATAAATCTGCAGTTGGAAGGATGTGAAAAAGAACCACAAAATGGATGAAAGGAGATTAGAGGATTAACTGTGACGTTTGGCAGTAATCACACAGCAATGAAACGGTGAACTGTTTTGAGAGTTTGGAAGGCAATTCAGATTTTAACTAGCAGTGTTAATTATTCAAATATTGTCTTGCCTTTTAAATGTCAGCTTATTGCGCTTAGAGGTGTTTTGACCAGACCTGAATACATGTAAGTCCATCATGTTGGAAACCAGCCAAGAATTTGCATTCTTGGGAATAACATTACGTAGCCTTAGTGCGTGGAATGTCACATTGTATAAATTAAGCTAAAACATAGACAATGACTGAGACTTCCTGTAAAAATGGGATTTTAAAATAAAATCGTCCACCACTTGCCAGCAGAGGGGAAATGAAACTCGACTTGAAGCACAAAATTGTCTCTTGGATTTTAACACTAATTTGCATAATCTATTGGTAAGATTTATCTTATTGAAAATAATTGCTACTCCATCTCAATTTATCTTTCATATTGTACCTTCCTGCTTGTGAATTTATTGGCGTTATGTTTGTAGCTACATGCACTCAAGCTGACATGAGGTTGTTGATTTGCTTGCCGAACTGGCTTGTTTTTGTTCAGATGTTTCGTCACTATGCTAGGTAACATCATCAGTGGAACCTCCGATGAAGTGATGTTATTCTACTCTACTTGGAATTTATACTGTCTGGTCTGTTATAGTGAGTAGTGTCATTTCTGGTTTTGATCTGTTTAGGTTTATATAATGGGGTCTAATTCTATATGTTTGTTGATTGAAGTATGGGTGGAGAACCATGTCTCTAGGAATTCCCGTGCGTGTCTGTGTTTGACTGGACAGTATAAATTCCAAGTAGAGTAGAATAACATCGCTTCATTGGAGGCTCCACTAATGATGTCACCTAGCATAGTGACGAAACATCTGAACAAAAACAAGCCCGTTCAGCGAGCAAGCCAACAACCCAAGCTACAGATTTTTGCCAATACTTTATACTCGAGCTGACAGCTCAACTTGTAACTTGAAATACAGTTTGCAATTCAGATGGATTACCATGTAATATGATAGTGTGCTAAAACAAACATAGGTTTCTCCACTTAGCTTCAGCATTTAATTTTCTTCACTGTCCTTCTTATTCGAATTTTGCTTCCCTCCTCCACCCAAATAAATTCATAGAATCCCTACAGTGTGGAAGCAGGCCATTCGGCCCATTGAGTCTACACCAACCCTCCCAAGAGCATCCCCCCCAGACCCGTCCCACATTTCCCTTGGCTACCCCACCTAGCCTGCACATCCCTGGACACTATGGGCAATTTAGCATGGCCAATCTACCTAACTTGCACATCGTTGGACTGTGGGAGGAAACCAGAGCACCCAGAGGGAACCCATGCAGACACAGGGAGAATATGCAAACTCCACACAGACAGTCGCTAAAGGCTGGACTCGAACCCAGGTCCCTGGCGCTGTGCGGCAGCAAGGCTAACCACAGAGCCACCGTGCTGCCCCACGGAGAGGCTAAACTCTAAATATTAGGGATGCTTCAAGATTTGAAATAAAATTGGAAAATGTGCGAAGTATTCAGCAGGTTTGCGGAAAGAGAGAAAAACAGAGTTAACATTTCAGATTGTTGACCTTTTGGCAGAACTGCTGACAAAAGTCATTGATGAGGAATGTTAGTTCTAAATGTTGTTCCTTTCTCTTTTTGGACGGAGTAGATTTACTTTTTTCTGGAGATATTACCTCTTTCTGATATCTCTACACAGCCCTACAATGATCCATCTGTTGTACACAAGTGGTGAAATGAGAGAGTTTAATCAGACTAGTCTAGTGTCAACTCTCAAGTAAATGGACATAAGTTTCTTTCTTTAGTGTAAGCACGTTGTGAAAACCAAACTATCTTACTTTTCTGTATTCTGGATTGTGGGCTGAAATAGAATAAGGACTGTTTATAGCAAGGAACTGAGCGAGGAATCACTGCCCTTTTGAAAAAAATTGCTGTTGAAGTTAATTCTAAGTCGTGTTTACATTACTGCGGTGTTCAAGACTGTTTGTAAACGGGCCAACGACAAGGCAGTGTATCCAGTAAGATTCAGCCAGCAATAAGTTGCTGATTGGTTTGTTGAGTTGTGACCAATTGTGAATGCCAAAGGCATGATGAGAACTATCTGATTGGTTCTTGGACAGAGGACCAGCTTGAGGGTGTGAATGATAATAGCAGAAGTTTTTTTCTCTTCTCTCCAAAGAGAGCTCAGTGAGACTCTCTCCCACTGCAAACCCCTGGTTCCACTCCACCCTTCCCACAATAACCCTCTACCTGCATTCACCTATCTCCATCTCACCTATCCTCCCCCCAGCCCCATACCCCTCCCTCTATTTATTTCTGGGCTTCCCTCCCCCTCCCTATTCCTGAAGAAGGGTTCCAACCCAAAACATTGACTTTCCTGCTCCTCGGATGCTGTCTGACCTGCTGTGCTTTTCCAGCTGCACGTTTTTTGACTTGATACTAGCAGAAGACTTTGGACAGCTGAAAGGGGAGTAGGTGCGTCTTTTCTTTCCAGTAAAATACCTAAAGCTTGAAGAGAGACAAGTTATTTGTCCTAACCACTTGCTGTAAGCTGTGGCCTTTAGTCAGAGCTAAGAGACTTTGCAATTAATGTGCGTATGGCCTGAGATTCCTGCAGAGAAGTAAAAAGAACCTGGAGAAGAGAGTGAAAAGCATAAAATCCTGGCAAGCAAAAGGATCATCTGAGTGAACTCTGTGGACTGGGTCCATTGAACTGCTCCTCCATCTTTCTTTCCCCTCCATCCATTTCACCAATTTTTTTTTGTGTATCTCTATATCTGTCTGTGTATGTATGTAGGGAAGGATAGAGTCTTAAACTAGCCGTATTACATTTTGACAGTTCATAACTGTTTTATCTGTAGTCAGAATCTCTTTATCTGTAATAAATAGTAGAGTCATAGAGTCATACAGCACAGAAACAGACCCTTCTGTCCAACCAGTCCATGTTGAACATAATCACGTATTCCTCCAAACTTTTCTTATTCATATACTTACCTAAATGTCTTTTAAATCTTGTAACTGTACTTGCATTTATCACTTCCTCTGGAAGTTCATTCCACACATGAATCACTCTGTGTTTAAAAAAAATTGCCCCTCATGTCTTATTTAAATCTTTCTCCTCTCACCTTAAAAATATGCTCCCTAGTCTTGAAATCCCCCACCGTAGGGAAAAGACACCTGCCATGCACCTTATGTATACCGCTCATGATTTTATAAACCTCTATTACTCTATAAGATCACCCCTCAAAATCCTAAGCTCCAGTGAAAATAGCCTCTCCTAATAAGCAGTTCTTGTTCAGTACAGGAACCTGGTCTGTGTTTTCTGTTATCTGGAGTCTAACCAACAGGTAAATTGGGGTCTCTTGCACAACATTCTTAACTTTGTGATGACTCCAGGAATAGTGAGTTCTAGTGCCCCAGTGAGGCACGACACCGTGTCAAACCCAGCTGAAACTGATTTGGATTTTATTCAGACTTGAGTTTCTTGCACTGAAACATGTACCTAAAATGGTAGAGAGATTTCTGGTACAGTCCTCCATTCCTGCTCTTG